AGCTGATATGAAAAGAGAAATGCTAACAAAAAGTTGAAAAAAATATTTACAAGGACCTGATTACAGGGGTAATCAGGAGTAATCAGGCACCTGGAGTGGGAGTCAATTGAAACTTAATGTCTAAATATAACTCTGAACTTGCAAATGGATGCAGTCTTGGTACCTAGCCCCAGAAGGGCCATAACTACATCATTTTTCCATTTTGGGATATAAGTATTCCCTAGAGTACCTGCATTTTGGTTGTGATGAGCATTTTTTTTTCCTTGTTTGTTTGTTTGTTTGTTTTTAGTATAAATATATAATTTATTAAAATATAATTAATTTATTTGTAATTAACTTATAAAATATAATTTAATTATAAAAATGATAATTTCAAAAAATGTAATTAAAAATAAAAAATCTTAAAAAATAAAAGTATAATTTGTTTATTAAAATATCATTTAATTATAATTTTAAATAGTTTATAAAATTTATAAAATTTATAATTGAGTATAATATGTATAAAACCCCTACAAGGGGGGAGAACTGGATTAATTTCCCAAGAGAATACTGTATTGTACAGTATCTTGTCCTAACTCTTCCTCATACATGGATCGTTTTTTTCTGACTTAGAGAATGGTGCTTTGCTGCACAGCTTTGCAGAACAGTTGGAGAATCAGTTAGACCCTAATGTGGTCTCAGTGGCAATGGCATTCTCCTGGGAAAAGAGCAGTGGGCATTAGAGTGCTCACCAGAATCAGGGCAACATCCCTGGGCCCCACCTTCCTGGCTGTGCCTGTGGGAACAGTGAACACTGCCATACCTCTTTTACAAAACTGTGCACCACATGAGCACGGCTGAACACTCAGCTCTTTAGAAAAAAGTTATAATCATCATTCCTAGTAGGTTATTCCAAGTCAATATTTTGCAGCTAGACACCAATACCTCCCAGCAACCCTGCATGAGAGCTGTCATTTAGAAAACATCTCCGTTCTTACCTGTATCCTGCTCATTTCACTGCTCACTTTGAATCCCATTTTGATTTTCTTATCTCTTTCTGATGTCAGCTAATGAGTTTAACCTTTTAACTAAGAATTTTAGCTCATGGCAGGGTGTCTTCAGATGCCTCAGGCTTTTGTTGAATCTAGTACTCATAGAGGATTAATTGTAATATGAACAGGAGTGGAAATTAGCAGGGAAGAGGATCTAGATCTTATTGATTGGTAAATATGCTATTGAGCAACTAAATTGATATAGAAATATAAATGTGATTCTAAGTATAATATGTTGCACAGTATTATATATCCAGTAGAGACAGAAGTATAGGAACATAAACACAGTTTTACATTGCACTGATAATATTACACTCATATTCTGGCTACAATTTCTGTGTTTCAAAAAGTTTTAAGGTGAAGCTTCACAATTCATGCTTGTCTTTCATCACAGGGACAGAACATAGGAGGCATTTTCTCCAGCTCCCTAAAGCATGTTCCAAAGATGTAGGTAGAAGCTCTTAACTGTGTCTCTCATTTGGGCAGTCCAGCAATGACCTCATTCTTATTAAAGTAATTTCTAAGTTCACTGTAAGCTTGAAAATTATTCAGGAAGTATGTATGTATCTGATGTAGAAAGAAAAGCAAAGAGGAAAAATAAAGTTCAACAGCACTTACAGCGATGAAATTTAAATTAAAACAAGCTTTCCATCTTTTTAGTCTACAGAGTAAAAGAACATTTATCTTATATCAACTTAAATTTTTGAGTATATATATTTTTTAAAAAACATTATAGACACATTAGTGCAACTGATAGAATGAAACTAACTGAGAATTACTAAATTAGAGAAAAGTGGATGGAATTTGCTTAATTAATCTACAAAGTTTTAATTAACCTCTCCAGTGGCCCAATTAAGGTTCAGGAGATATACGAGCAGATATACTTAAAATAAAACCACAAATTACTTTAAATTGCACATCAGTTGATTCCACTAACTAATTACTTTCATTCCTGGTTTAACAAGCTAAATTAGAAACATCAAATATGTGGAAGAAGAAAGAATAATCAAAATATTGTGAAAGCAGCTTTGACTAGAAGAAAATAGGCATAAGTTGCTCCAGCTGGATGGAAACACATTGAAGGCTATTGGAAAGGAGAGGTTATTTTAGGAAGGTACTTAGAAAGCAATAATAATCTGATCTACTGAATTTGTAAAATGGCACCTATTCCCATTCTGAATAAAAGATGGTAGAATTTTGTAGCTACAGGACATTTTTAAACTTTGATTTCTCAGAGAATCAGACTGTATTCTAACAACATTTCTGATATCTGTCCTTGTGACCCATCTCTCTTTACTTTGCTGCAAACTGAAATAACTCCACTGGATCTTTAGCTCCAGTGGATTTGTGTTGCACTCTTAGGAAGGTCCTAGAATCATTAAAGCTGAAAAAGACCTTCAAGATCATCTGGTCAAACAATCCCTGTACTACCAATGTCACCCACTAAACCATGTCACTAAGCTCCAGGTCCAGCCTTTCCTTGAACACCCCCAGGGACAGGGATGCCACCTGCTTCCCTGGGCAACCCTTTCCAATGCCTGACTGCTCTTTCTGAGAAGAAATCTCTAATTTCTAATCTCTAATTTCTCCTAATTTCTAACCTCCCCTGGTGCAACTTGAGGCCATTCCCTGTAGTCCTATCACTAGTTACCTATGAGAAGAGGCCGACCCCCAGCTCCCTACAGCTTCCTTTCAGGTAGTTGTAAAGAGAATTAAGGTCTCCCCTGAGCCTCCTCTTCTCCAGACTAAACAACCCCATTTCACTCAGCCACTCCTCATAGGACTTGTGTTCCAGACTCTTCACCAACTTTGTAGCCCTTCTCTGAATACATTCTAGGGCCTCCATGTCCTTCTCGTACTGAGGGGCCCAAAGCTGTACACAGTACTAGAGGTGTGGACTCACCAGAGCAGAGTACAGGGGATGATCATCTCCCTGGTCCTGCTGGTTGCATTGTTCGTGATACATGCCAGGATGCCTTTGGCCTTGTTGGCCACCTGGGCACACTGCCAGCGAGGTTCAGGCGAGCATCAATCAGCACCTTCAGATCCCTTTCCTCTGCACAGCTTTCGAGCCACTCTGCCCCAAGCCTGTAATGCTGCATGGGGTTGTTGTGGCCAAAGTGCAGGACCTGGCACCTACCCGTGTTGAAGCTCATCCCATGGGCCTCAGCCCATCCTGTCCAGGTCCTTCTGCAAGGCCTTTCTACCCTCTGGCAGATCAACAATGCCCCTCAACTCAGTGTCATCTTTAAACTTAGTGAGGGGTGTACTCAATTCCCTCATCCAAGTCATCAATAAAGATATCAAAAAAGATGGGCCCCAACACTGACCCATGGGGAACACCACTGGTGACTGGTCGCCAGCTGGATTTCACTACATTCACCACCACTCTCTGGGCCCAGCTGTCCAGACAGCTTTTAACACAGCAAAGAGTGTACCTGGTTAAGCCATGGGTCGCCAGCTTCTCAAGGAGAATACTATGGGAGACTGTGTCAAAGGCCTTGCTGAAGTCTAGGTAGACTATGTCAACAGCCTTTCCCTCATCCACCAGGTAGGTCACCCGGTCATAGAAGATGAGGTTGGCCAGGCAGGACTTGCCTTTCATGAACCCATGCTGACTGGGCCTGAATGTTTCTGTCCTCAAGCATCATGTAGTCTGATGTAATTGCTTCTTAAAGCCAGTCCATCTCTCCTAAGTCTCTCCCCTGCCTCCCCCCCTTTTACTCTTAATATTTTATTTGTTGTTTCTTTTGTGATTGTAGCTTTTGGTCATTACATTTATTGTGGATTTATTATAAGAGGTTGGAAAATGTCCTTTTGTATAGTAGTTTGATAGGTGTGTGGTCAGATGACGTGCAGAGAGCAGAAGTTCATCAAAACCTTATTAAATGTTTATTTCAAGGGAGCTTCAACAGAGGGGAACTAGACTGGAGGTCCCAGGCAGACCGTGAAGTTTCTATAAAAAATCTACCACATAAAAGGTGTAGCCAGGCTAGTATTCTTAAACTGAAGGTGTTAGCTATGCTAACACAAATCTATTCTATAGAAGAAAAGATTTGGTTTGGGACTGGATATAAAATATTTGCAAGTCTTCTTGGTGCTCAAAATTTTTGAAAATAAGATTGTTATGTGCTTTATTTGAATCTAGAGAATGACTTAAAATTTTAGTTTTTATAATTTGTTTCTAGACTAGATTTATTCACACCTGAAAGGTGGAAATAATCAGTAAACTACAGCTCAGAAACTACAGGTCAAGCAAAGCAGGCATGAAGATAAAAGGAGGAAGGGAATTATGAGATTAACAATTTTACCCTATATTTTTATATTCTGGAAGTTTTATTAAGATTAAAGCTGACAAATTTTGTCTCAGCAGGACTGAGAAATACATTTTCATTTGAAATTAAATATTTTATGATGTCAGGAAGATTTCAAAAACATTTATTACAAAATTAAATCATTTGCAGCTTTCACTTGAAGAAAATATCAGAATGTTTGATAACATTTAAATAACATAGGAATGATCACATGTACATGGTTACCTAAAATTCACTTACCCATCTTATTAATTTTGTAAGATTCCTTAATAGACAGTGAAGATACGGAGGTGGGACATCAATTTTCACAATTCTCTGAGATATGTTTCTCAAAGTAACATAAACAATTGCCTGTAAACATTGATCACTATTCATATGTATAGGTAGGGAGCCTAGATAACTGTGCTTGATTGTTTTTGTCACTTTTCTTTCACTAGAAATATAAATATTTCTGGGGCTAGTTCTGACAAACTGTGCCTTGGTCAATTCCAAAAAATTTATTATTCTTTTTTTTTTTATTATTTTTTTAATTTTTAAAAAGCAAATGGTTCTCCCCTTAAGAAAAATGGTTCTTTCTTCCGCTGCTACCCCCCCCCCCGCCCCCCCCCCGCCCCCCCCGAACCACATTGAAACTTCATAGTGCTATTAACAGGTATTAGATTTAAGGAAATATAATCAGGGAAATAAGATGTGAGGAAACATCTGTATGCTACCTATTTGGAAAATTAAAAGAGATGAGGTTGGTCAGGCAGGATGTGCCTTTCTTGAAACCATGCTGACTGGGCCTGATTCCTCAGTTGTCTCTCAGAGAAGTCCATGCATGAATTTCAAAAATCAAGACATATAAAAGTAGACATATAAGAACAAAACAGAAATTCTTGTGAAATTTTGGTCATGAAACAGAAATGCTGGTGCAATTTTGATCATGCAACTGAAAAGTCTGCACAGCAGCCAAGGGCTGAGCCAAAAGGCTTAAAGGACCACAGAAGGCTCATAAACTGGAATAAAAAATCAGAAGTGTGTTCATTAAATGTTTATTAACTTCTCCAGATCTGCAGTGAGTCCTTGCTGATAGAGCTTCTGAAAATTAGCTTTTAATTATTTCTAGCAGCTACAAGTCCTGCTTTGCCTTGTGATGTGGTATCAGCTGCTGGTCCCAAGTTAACCACGAGGGGGATGTGTGTGTGTGTGCTTTGAAGAACAGCTGTAGGTTAGAAGTGTCTGAACCCAACAGAAAATACCAGAGATTTTCTGTGAGCAGAAATCCATGCCACCAAGTAGATCACAGAATCACAGAATTTCTAGGTTGGAAGAGACCTCAAGATCATCGAGTCCAACCTCTGACCTAACGCTAACAGTCCCCACTAAACCATATCCCTAAGCTCCACATCTAAACGTCTTTTAAAGACTTCCAGGGATTGTAGCAAAGAGTTCTCAGTATGTTATCTGTTCAGAAATGATCATGGCAAAACTATTATCTGTCCAGGCAGCAGATGTGCAATGTTACACCTCATACATTTCAGTTGTTTATCTATTGTCCCTATCAAAAAAATAGAACCAAATTATAGCATCCATTTTGTCTTGTATATAAAGAAGGAATAAGGGCAGTATAGATACAGATTTTGGACTGTTAGTTGGACTCATACCTTTTTGTAAGCTTGTCTAGTGGAACTAGAAAGATGTAGGTTTTTAAAATAAATTTTCATATGTTATGAAATATTAACTATTGATAATGTTAAGATAGCACAAATATCTCTTGTATGAAAATGATAGGATGTGTAGTAAGGGACTCAAAGTGTTAAAAAATCTTCAGTTGATACAGTCCTGCACTTAAATTTGAGCACATGTAACAGTGGGAACTGGACTGTGGGTCACGTTGGCTAGCAGAAACTTACCATTTTTTTCCCTAATGGTATAAGCCTATTTATATTTTTAATATATTCAAAACATTATAATCCTTTACAGTAAATTCACATTTTAATAGAATTTGTCTATAATACAATAGATAATAAATATATTTATTGCATAGGATATGGTAACAATTTCATGTATTTTATTTGACTTCATTACATAATTAATTACATAAGTAATTAGATTAATGGGCTGGTCTTGGGTATTTCTTTGAGAGGATGACATCATTAATCAATGTCTTATACAACAAGAGGCAGCAAGTTAATGTCAAGCATACAGCTTTTTGTCAAATGGAGTTGGATGAAGGAGGTCAGCCAGGCTTGATCTCAGGTGTTCTATCTTAAATGTTTCTCTCCGTGCATATGTGGGTTTAAAACTGAACTCTGTCAAGAGATGCAGAAAAGTCCATTATTTGTCAAAGAACTACCTGAAGGTTCCCTCTCAACTTCTATAGCCAGGGAATAGACAGCACTAATGGAACATCAGTATCACTCTAAAATACTATTATTATCCTTGAATTATATACTTTTCTTTTTACAATGTAAAACAAATTTTAATTACAATATAAATTATATGGTAGAGCCATGAAGCAGTAAACAAAGAATTAATTTGTGTTCCTTCTGCACTTATCATTCGTTGACTAATTAGTTTCTCTCTCAGGTTCTGAGTGACTCTCATAAAGAAAAATCTCCTGAGAATACAAAGGTTAACTTTGAAGTGATTACAAATATTCAGCTAACACTATAATTAATAATAATGCTTAAAGCACAACAGTCATCTGCCATACCAATAAGAAATGTTTCCTAATTAGCCAGGGTATTGGCATTATTCAGGATATTTAACTTTTCACTATTCAATCAACAGGGCTCATGAAGCTGAATAATACCTCTTTAAACTGTGAAGCTAATAGAAAGGTTAAACCACTTCAGATGCTTAAGCATCTAAACAAATAAATCTTATACTTATGTACTTAATTTCACCCTGCCAGTTCCTCAAAGGCTTTATAAAATACTTGCCATATCATGCATGGATATAAATCTTCCATGGACAAATATTCTTATGCTGTTAATTAATTACAATAAAATTAGTTATAGGTCTACAGATCATAGAATAATTTGTCCAACATAGCAATTTAATCATTTAATAGCAACAAAAATGATTGAAAAGTGAAAGAAATTGTGATACTAGGCAGAGTTAGATACAAAAAGATATTTGGTGTTTTATAATGGTAAATATTACATTAATTTAAAATTAAGAAATTAAAAAATGTACTCATTTGACCTAACATGCATTTTATTGTAGCCAAGAAAAGTACTGTAGGAATTTCTGACTGTGGTGAGGTTAAGATACAGCCTAGCCTATTCAAGTTTGGAGTAACTCTATTGTCAGACAAGAAACCACAAACACTTTTTTTTTTTTTTTTTTTTAATTTGATATTCAAGTCTTGTTCAGGTGAACTGATGTGAACTCTGCTTTAACTCAGATAGTCATTAGCATTGGGCGGTGAAAAGTCTGGCAAATAGAAGTGTTGCAAATTCTCATTAGGAATGATAAAAGAGAAGCACCTATACCAGCTACATATAGCTGGCCTTTGCTAGTCCATATTGCTCATTGAAGAAGAAGGGCTTTTGATGCACCTGCTTGGGTATAGAGATGCATCACAGTGAAGGAGACAGCAGATGTAGCCATAATTTCTAGGTGCTTTCTTAACAATCTGTTCACAGTGTGTATTGCAGATAACTTTTTTTTTTAATTTTTAATAACTTTATTAAAAATCATCAGTTATTTATACATACTAGTCATCCTTTCAATAGCAAGTTCAAACCATCAAATTTGGATTTTCTCTTTTATTATTTATTTCTGTTGTTTAAAAAAAAAAAGATAAAAGGATTGAGTGTTGAATGTTGCTCGCAATGGTCTTTTTTCCCTTTTCTATGTCCTTGGCAAAATAAGTATGGCATGAAATGTTTGCATGCTTGACTAATGTGAGTCTTATTTTAACCTTTGTATGGAAAGGCCTTTTTCTGATTAAAAGCAAATCAATTTGAAAAGGTAATAATGTTTTTTAATGTCAAATAGAAAGACAAAACTTGGAATACTATTTTTTTGTAATATTTTAAAGTTCAAACAGAAACTGCAATAGAAAAAAGGCTACAAAAAGCATCATTTATAAATTATTTTTTGTTATGCTTTTATATTCTAAATTCATACAGTGTATCTATTTTATTCTTGGGTTTAAAAAGTATTTTTGAAACAGTTATAATTTTTTGAGAATTGTGCAAAAATTTACATCAAATGAAAGCAGAAGTTGAAATAGCTACTATAGAAATAATGCTGTTTGTATGATAATTATTTTGAATGTTGCATGCATATGGAAGGCATCTGCTGGAACCTGGCCTTTCCTGTAAAACGTTTTTTATACTATGTCTTTAAAATATACTGCATTTTTTGTTAATAGCTATAAAAGGGACCCCCCAAACAAACAAACAAAAAAACAACAAACAACAACAACAACAAAAAAAAACATACACAAACAAACAACAACAAAAAAAAAACACAATGGGAATAATAGTTTATCTCAAGATTGAGGTACATTGATTTTCTTAACTACTGAAATCTCTCTTCTGCTTGTTTGTACCGTGTCTGGTGCCTTTTTCCTCTAGTTGTGGGAGCTGCTGTGGAGCATCAGGAAATGATACTTTTTAATTGGCTTCCAAATAACATAAGAAAGAAACTACTATTCAGAAAAGATATCAAGTTCTGTAATGCAGTGCTGCAATGGGATAGAAAACATTAATTTTCTGTGTAGTAGGCTGTCGTGGTTTAACCTGGCCGCCAGCTAAACACCACGCAGCTGTTCGCTCACCCTCCCCCTCCCTCTCTGGGACGGGGGAGAGAAATGGAAAGTGAAGCCCGTGAGTTGAGATAAAGACAGTCTAATCAGACAGGAAAATAATAATAATAATAATAATAATAATAATAATAATAATAATAATAATAATAATAATAATAATAATAATAATAATAATAATAATACAATGGTGATAATAGTACTACTAATAATAGTATGTACAAACAAGTGATGCACAATGCAATTGCTCACCACCCGCTGAACGATGCCCAGCCTAACCCTGAGTAGTCCGGCCCCCTCCCCCCGGCTAGCCACCCCTATATATTGTTTAGCATGACGTCAGATGGTATGGAATAACCCTTTGGCTAGTTTGGGTCACCTGTCCTGGGTCTGTCCCCTCCCAGCTCTTACTGCACCCCCAGCCTGCCCGTTGGCAAGACAGCAAAAGGCTGAGATGTCCTTGGCTTGGTATAAGCACTGCTCTGCAACAATTAAAACATCGGGGTGTTATCAGCACTCTTCTCATCCTAAGCCAAAACACAGCATTCCACCAGCTACTAGGAAGAAAATTAATTCTGTTCTAACTGAAACCAGGACATAGGCTTTACTAGATCATCCAATTTTGAATCATCTGTGAATACAAATACTGTCCTTTGTATTGGCTGAAAGGTTTAATTTGGAACATTTCTTAAAAGTTACAGCTACACATATTAAGAGAACTTTTCAGTAAAAGATGGAAGCTTACCTGTACTCAGTTTAGGGCTAGGAAGGAAAAACAAAACAAAACAAAACAAAACATGAACCCTAACCCTAAATTAGGGGACTTTAGACAGCTAACTCTAAAACTGTGATTAGAAAGTCCTGATTTAGTTGCTTCTTACCTTTCTTCTAGAGCACATAACCTCTTGGGTAACCAAATGTCCAGCCAATGCCTAATGCCTGGCTGTACTCAGACCAGAAAGTCAACAAAGCAGCACCTACCTCCACAAAGATCTTACATCAAGTACCTCTGACTGTACTAGATGCATTAATAAGATTGGAGACTTGAGAAGAGAATTGAATAGATTTAATTCTCTTCTATTTGAATGCGACCACATAAATTTGTCTAATTACTTTACAAAACCTTTACTAAAACTACTATATTATTTTATCCATTCTGCTGTTCTTCTGTATATATAGCTTTACTTTATTTGTTTATTTATTTATTTTTTTTTTGGAGCAATTGATTTATTCACAATTGAAGAATAGGAATAAGCAAGGTTAGTAGTATTTTTCTGATGAAACATACCGTTCAAACCTAAGGCCATGCGAAAAGATTGGAGACATTTTCAAAGTGGTTGGAGTAAAAAAATAAATATGTTTACAGCAAGCTTTGAAGAAATGACAAGGTAAAATGCTCTGCTGCAGAAGCTGATTTTGTATATATGTATTTATTTGGCCAGGTAGCTATGCAGAGCAAGCAAGATGGTAACATGTTCTAATAAAGTATTTTGAGCACCTAGAGTAATTATGTCACACAGAAAGTGAAAAATAAGCAAGATAACTTTTTCAAAATACAACATAATCTCAGTGGGTTGAAATGCTATATCTAAGCAATACGAGTATAGTATTAGGCTGCACTGCTGGCTGACAGTAATGGTAACCACAACATGCTAAGGGAGATTTAGAGGGTGGTTAAGGCAGAAAATTAATTATACTGGAGAATTTGATTATTCCTATGCTGACTGTAACAAAAATGCATGATGCAGACTCTGCATTTTAGAGCCCCTGAATGCTTACTTGTTGGAAAAACTGGTCTGTTAACAGGCAAGGAGAGTCACATTTCTTGATTTACTTTGTTGTTGTGCACAGGACCTGCCTCTAGAATGGCTTCAAGCAACTGTTGGGGAATCTTGGTTTTAACACATGCTACTCCACATCTGTGTAGGATGTTATTCATGATAAAATAACCAAGGCATAAAGTGTAATATGAAAATAGAGAATTACAGGAAAATATTTACATTAATTACATGAAAATATAGGTTAACAAGTTAAAGAGGGACCTAAGAGGGTAAAATATTTGGAGGCAGCATAAAATTTACTTTAAAATTCCACATTATAAACATTGTGTAAATACAAAATAATCAATAGACTCCATAAGGCATAAAAGTGTTGGCTGGGGTTAAGGGGATAGCAAACAAAACCATGAGAAACAATTAACTTTTGCTTCCTTGTAAATGTAGATATCTTGTCTAAATGAGAAATAATCTAAAAGAGTTTAAATTTTGACAAGTTCAAAAAATTATATTTTGCTAAAGAAATAAAGACTTTGAGCTACACTTTAAAAAAAAAAAAAAAAACACAAAAATTAGTTTAAAAGTAATTTAAAATGCTTTTAAAAGATGGATAACGGATGTCTATAAATTAAGTTGCTGCTGCGCTAGAGCCATTCTTTACAAGGAATGAATATCAAGAATAATTTCAAATTAAGTCCATTTGAGAGATTAAAAAAATAAAAATCAATGCAATGATAGGTAGGAAATCACTAAGTGG